GTAAGAGGAAATGCGCTACAATTGATTATTACATCTGATTATTTAAACTCCGCAGATGCATACGGCTTTGTACCTAGGTACCCTGCAAAAAAATGTGCGATAATATCTAAAGAGAGTATTCCGAGATTACTCTCAATCGGGTACAATTGGGCATTAATTAGTCGCAACTAGTCTCATACGGGTACTAATGGAGGTCAATTAGTCTCAACTCATCCCTTACGGGTATAATTTGAGATCAATTAGTCCTCAACTCATCTCTAACGGGTACTATTAACGATTTAATGATATGTACGCACTTAGTCAATGAAATTTCATGTGCGGCGTTGGCACACAGAAAGAGTATTCGCTTAACTAAACTGAGCAACCCGGTTCGAATTTTAGCTGGTGCAAATTTTTATTTATATTTTTTTAAAGTGACTAGTCGCTTTTTATACCCGTTCGGGTATAAAGGTGAACAATTAGTCTCTTCATAGGACATGCTCGAACAAAAGCGAACAGTTCATTCCATTTAAAGAGATCAAAAGTGGTATTAGTCGCATGCTCCTTTGCGATTGCTCCCGGAGTCATCCCAGATTAGTCCCATTTTTTGCAGGGTATGTACATACATAAGTATGTATGGACCATATATGTAACACTTCTATATTGGCGGTAAGCTAACTTCCCAATGTGTAAGCATTCCGAAATCAGAGCGAGACAGTTTAGTACGGTTTTTGTATATGTATTGTGTACGTGAGTGCCGTTTTTGTGTATGTGTTGTGTACATATATTTAGTTATAAATGTAGTGTTTTCGGACGGTACTAGCTCTTACTGCCAATATAGGAGTTTTACATATCTGTGGTCGTAAGCAATAACCACCTAAGTCGACTTAAGAAAGAATTGAGTTATATATGCTATCATTTTCTGCAACTATTGTTCCATGTCTACGTGAAACTCCCATCTCGTTACCTATTCTATTTAAAAACTTATAAATGAAAGTCTTTTGGTTTCCCCATAAGGTTAACATTACAACCCAAATCTTTAAAGCGCTTTTTCTCGAATTCAGGTTTTTCGACTTGGGCGATTATTGCTTATGACCACAGATATATGGTATGGACTCATTTGTTGCAACTGGGCATGAATCACTTAACTTTGAAACGATAGTCGTTCAAACGATACTGAAAAAAGGATGTTGTCAAAACACTGATTTATGCATTTGTGTTGCTGTTACGTGTTACTGTTACTGTTACGTGAAGCAAAACTGGAATCGAGTTGACGATATCGCACAAACGATCAAACAATTTTTGATTTTTATGAAGCAAAACAATCTCGACACGATATCGTTCAGACGATTGTCATCATATGTGATTCATGCGCTGGTTTTGATATTCGTAGATGGTTTTAGGCATAGGTTTAGTAGTATAATTTGATAAAAAAGCATAGCGAAAATTTAAAAAAATACTGAAATCATTTTAACTGGGACCGTTGATAACTGATGAACATACATCAATATATGTATGTATAATATGCATATGTATGGATGATATAATAGCTCTGATCCAATACTTTTCGTGTAAATTCCTGGAAAAAGGTCAAACAGCAAAATCACTCTCTGAAGTGAGAGTAAAAAGTGAGTAACAGCAAAACGTACGGAACAAAGAAGCATCGGGTAAAATCCTGCAACTTCAATCTCTACACAACTCTCCCAAAAATCGCTCTCATTTACATGAATCACAGATTATATTCCGAAAAAAAAAAATAAACTTAGGAATATATACAAATAGAAATGCTCAAACTATAAGCTCAAAAACAATAACTGATGCGGTGTTTCCAAGATATTTTAACGCCCTTGAGTCACAAGTATATACAAGTAACATATTTTATCAATCATACCGATAATTTTATGTATTAAAAGAATTAAAAATGAAAACGAATAAAAAAATTAAATCAGCAAAATGAAAAAAATTAAGTGAAATTAATGTTTAATTTCTGACCTAACCTACATTTGTATGTATGTAACTGAATCGCCTAATAATAGCTTTACATATAAAAAGATGATCCTAATTTTCGAGCTTAACTCCCTAAACTGTTACTAGAAAAAAAAATTAGCCATGCAAAATTATAATTAAAAATATCTCAGATTAAACCGATAACTTTTTGGTGTCCAACCTAGTTTTATCGATTATACTTACGAAGAAGAGGAGGAATGTCAAATGTTAAAGTAAACAAAAATTGAAGCTAGTAAGGAAAATAGGTTTGTAAAGGTATTTTTAATAACATATTAGGCTAAAATATATTTAAATGGCATAATATGTGTTGCAGAAAAAAGTGACCACGGTGGCACAGAAAAGAAGTTTAACTCTTCCTCGAGTTGTGTGAATAACAAGCACAACCAATTTGACAGCTAACGAGCTTTGATTGAGATTATATTTATATGTAAACGTACTTTTATGCTTTGCCGTTCGCATATGTCTACATATCAAATTTCATGAGTACCTTGTACTCACGCATTTTTGTTCATATAAGAATTGGAATTTATAAAATCTGGCGTTGATTTTTTATTTTAGTTTTTGCAAACGTGCTTGCGCATTTTGTTCAAATTCATCTTTGTATGGAAAAAAGCCATCAGCAAAAAAGTATCAAAGGTCTATGCGGTATTTAGCCGCGTAAAACTTGAGCCATGTAACTGCATATCCAAGAATTCTGATTAAAAATCCAAAATTTTTGTGAAAATTTGTTGCATTTTTCTAGAGCTTGAATAAGTTTGAAAGTGTTAATTAATGTTTTGGATTTGGCTAAAGCATGAAAAATATTTTTATAAAATATGACAAAAAAATTTATGTGAAAAACATTGTATATATTGTACATAAAATCACCACGCACTCAGTTTCAATCGCCAGTGTAGCTTTGTTTTGTTCAAATGATATTGGGCATTTTTATAAGATGAAGCTGTTTAGCTCAAATGCTACGAAACTGCTGGCAACTGTTGGACCCAACAATTAAGTCTTAGAAACGACTTGATGAATATGCTGCGAAATGAGCAGCTGATAAATGTAAACAAATGAAATTGCAATAAATAGAGATAGTTGCGCCGATAGTATTTAGAATTCAACGCTGAGCTGCCGCCGTGTTGAAAAAATCGTTCAATGTTATAATGAATTAAACAGTGTATAATTATATAGTAAACATCTTAAAAACATATATTTAGAAAAGAGGTTTTAGTATAAAATATTTTAGTTACTTTATAACATCAGTAATATAAAATTGAATAAATTTGTTTGCAACTGCCACCTAACAAAGCGGCGTTAAATTTAATGCAAGCGGCGTAAGTCTTTGCGATCAGCTGTTTAAGCTAAGTCCAACACGTTGAGTTGAGCTAGCGTAAAAATTTTGCGCTTGAAAAAATGGCGAAAAGTTGCCAACTGTTGAGCTGAGCGGAACTACTCAACTGTGCGTTTCGAAGACAAACACGAAACAGTATAACAACAGCTACGTCTTAGAAACGCGCCCATTGATTGTTTATTTTCGAACGGTTTTTTGTTCCATAAGCGAATAAATCAATTTTTTGTTGAATGCATTTAGTTTTTCATATGGTTTCCTTCCTCTTGCGTACAACGTCCTCTGCATTATATAGATATTGATTAATTTCCACACTTCCTATACAACTTTCTTTGGTTTCAGATTGAAAATGTCTCTGGATGAACTGAAATAGCAGCGTGTGAACATAAAGAAAAATATTTTGCGCATTAGGAATATCGTTGATACTAGTCTACGACCTGGTGGAAAGGTTCTTTTGAACGCAGAATAAAAATGTCGCTTGGGAATTCTTGAATCCTACTTTAAGCAAGTTCTTTCTATCCAAACTGATATCGAGAAGTTGGATACCGACGACGGAGGACGCGCTGCCATCCAATCGCAGCTAGTTGAGGACTACACTGTGACGTTGACAACACGCATAATGCAGGCGTACTCAAAATTGCCACAACTTAAGCTCCAAACATTTACCGGCAAGTCTATCGGATGTCAGAATTTTATAAATTCATTCAAGCAAATTATTAACCGCGAGCGTTAACGACAGCCGAACCGCTAAGTATGTACCCCTGCAAGAACAGTGACTATCATTTGACAAATCGTTTGAGTGGCAAGACTGTTAGAAATTTCTGTCACTGGCTACCTACAAGTTTCTATCAAATTCTTAAGGGCAGTGTGAAAAATCTGTAGTGCGATTCTGAATCTTATTTTAACCACATTTCACGTTGTTATCTATAGTTAACACCTTTTTTTGGGGTTAAGTGATTGTTTATCAACATTAACCATATTTGTCATTGTTTAGTGTTAACAAACGCAGTCAGCTGTTTGGTGACAATTATTTTTGTGGTTAAGCTAACAGCATCTAGTTTTTCTTTGTTAAGCTGTTGTTTACAAATTTTGCTGTGAAGCTAAATTGAGAAAATTGAGAAAATTGTGAAGATTGTGTTAAAAAATGGCATTTGCATACATTGCATCATTTTTATATGATAACGATAATGAGCAGCCATTAAACGTGCCAAGAATTGAGCGGCGTAGGCTTCGCGAAATCGATAACCCTTTCGAACTAACGTTAACGGAGTTCCGGAGGCTATATAGACTCAGTCCCGGCATGGTTGAAAATTTGGTGTCGCAACTTGACAATCAATTAAGAGGATCGCGAATAACAGCGTTATCGACTGAAAAGCAGGTAAGTCAATATACATGTATTTCAACTTTATTAAATATTATAGGTGCGTTCCAGCAGTAGTACGAATTGCAGGGTCTGAAGGTTTCAAGGATTTACAGAAAAAGCTGCTTTTAACTTTAATAAACCTTATGTGACGTGGAACAGCTTTTTCTGTAAAACGTACAATTGCTATTACCGCTAGAAAGCATCTTGTATAAGCATGTGTTTATGTACTCGTTGAAGGTTCTAGCTGCTCTACGGTTTTATGCCACTGGATGCTATCAACGCCCAGTAGGTGAACAGTGGGGCATATCTATGAGCCAAACATCGATAAGCCGTTGCATACACCGTGTGACTGACGCAATCAACAATTCAATGTTTACCTCCAAAGTGAAGTTCCCTATGACGCAACTGGAGTGCCAAGCGGCAAAGGAAATTTTTGCGTCTGCACCTTCACCATTTGTAGCAGGAACTATCGGTGCAATCGACTGCACCCATGTTGCAATTTTGGCTCCCAAAAATAATGAATCAAATTATGTCAATCACCATGGGTACCATTCGATGAACGTGCAAATGGTAAGAACAAATGTACATCATGAAAATTTATATTGTTATTTTATAATGGTTCAAACTTATAGATATGTGATCCAAATCTTAAAATTTTAAACGTGAATGCAAAATTTCCGGGAGCACGACATGATTCGTTTATTTGGAGCTTCTCTGCAGCGCGTCGGGTCATGCAGCGATCATTTGAAACTGGAAATCACAACACGTTTTTGATAGGTAAGTTGTTTTAATTCCATACGAATAGAAATATTAAAAGAAAATAATTTCAGGCGATTCTGGATACCCGCTGGAGCCATGGCTGATGACACCTTTACCAAACGAGCCAGAAGGAACACCAAAGTTTCGCTACAACGAGGCGCTATGTAAAGCACGTAACCCGATCGAGAGACTCTTTGGCGTCCTTAAAGGCACATGGCGGTGCTTATCACGGCAAAGAGTACTTTTGTATGACCCCGGCTTTGCTGGCCGAGTAGTTAACGCGTGCGCAACATTGCATAACGTTCGTTTGGNACGTGCGCAACATTGCATAACGGTCGTTTGGGCGATCAACCAACCGATTTTGACGATCGGGTTGTTTATGATCCCGAAATACTAACCACTAATGACGATTCCGCAGCACCTTCTTCAGTAGCGAAACGTGTTCAGCAACGAATTATAGCAAATTTTTTTTTAATATTCGTATAACTTAATATATGCCGTCAACGATCGTCTCGATGATAGGCCAGCCATCCACCAAGAGACGCAAGTAAGTACCATTATAGCAAATTATATCAACTTATTTATTTTATTTGAGTTCGCTTTTATCATGAATGACTGCCTTTATTTTCTAGATTTGTTCAATGCACGTTAACTAACGCCTTTATTTGTCATCAATTTTTTTTTTCATCTTCCTCTGCACAATAAAATGGGCAACGCTTTTTGCATTATATGTAATGCATATTCAACAAATCAACAGTATTTATTTTTCACGTTCAATGAACATACTTGGCGAGCCGTTAAATGGCACCGCTAAAACTGCGAACTAACCAGCTAAATTTATTGATTTTTATAGCCTCAATGAAAAAGTTCCACACCTGCGCCGGCTTTAGTAGCAATGTATGCACGATTGCTCGTTCATACGAAATCGAACCGGTGGACATTAAAAGGATTCTTGCGTAAGCTATTCGGAAGAAGCAAGCTAGGGCTGTGCAATTAATTGATTATTCAAAACCTTAATTAATATCGTATTAATCATTATCATACTTTAAATGTAATATGTTAATCGAACAACTGATTAACCAACTTGCTCGAGTAATCGAATAATCGCACAACCCTAAAGCAAACCCATATTTCATAATTGTTTACATTTTCATTAACTCTTATAGAGCAATTGTTGCCCGCTGTTTCCAAGCATCAATACAGCCTATATTGCTGAAAATGTTCCTAAATCTATTACAAAACAACCAACCCAACAGCGCCCTTACACTGTGCGGGCGTTTCGCTGTAAACCAATAAAAAACAATTGAATTTGTGAGTGCCGGTGCTGTTGTGAAGGGTTATTCATGGATACCACAAAAAGAGATACAAAACTACATCAATGCTGTTGGCATAATACTCGCTTCTCTGCCTGAGAAATATTGGAATGCAAATGATCACCATAGGTAAAATTGCGTGTTCTGTTTGGTATTATTTTCAAAGGAATGTGTATACATATTTCACCATTTCAGTGAGCCGCTGATACCTATGTGTCTTCAGTTGGTAATTGCATAGTTACCGCCGCGAGTGCGGTTCACAATGCTCTTTGCCGCATTCTTTTTGGCATGGTCGTTTGTTGAACCAGCCCACATAACAGACGCTCATTTGGCAAGTTCTATTTCCGTTGCTTGATAATGTGCGTGCGCTTTCCAGTACGGGAAGCAGTTAGAGGTGCAAAACTATCGATGGCACTATCGATAGTATCGATGTTTTTTATTTTTCCCTACTATCGATTGTTTTTTGGTCCTATCGATAGTCCGACAGACATGTGATTCAGTATTTATTTAAGTTTTATTTCTTCTTTTCTTTTCATTTCTCTTAAACATCCAAGCTGAAATAAAAATTTGATTGCTACTTTTTTAAAAGAGTAATGTCAAACTTCGAAATTGACGGAAAACCTTGCATCTTTTAAAATACCGCTAAAAACTGATACAAATTAATTTATACCAAAACTTCCAATATTATATATGAACCACTATTTACTATTTAATAAAAGGTAGATAAAAACCATTACTTCTCAGATAAAAAATGTTTTCTTCTTCTAAAATTGAAATTTACTTGATGAATGCCTTATATACGACGGAGGATATCGAAAACCACAAATATAAAATTTCAGTACGCCAAATTTTATTCCATTTCAATTCATTTCAAATTTTCAATAACTTTACTTCTTACTGAACGGTTCAACAATTAAAAAAAGTGTCCAGCAGTTTACAAGGTTATCGAAACGTAATTTCGGAATATATTCTTAAGGAAATCTTCATACGAAAATTGAGCCAAAACCATATAAATACGATACTATCGACGATATATCGATAGTTTTGAAAATAATATCGAAAACTATCGATGGCCTGACTATCGATAGTTTTGCACCTCTAGAAGCAGTGAAACGGTGGATGGCGCTGCCTTGAGTAAAAATTGTGAAGACTCGCTGGCCGCACTAAAATCGCTGCAAGAAATTATGCATGACAATGCAGACAAATTGGCATCACTTACTAACGAGGAAACAGCGGAAACAAAGATGAGGAATTTGCAGGGTGAGTTGTGTTTAGCGGGAAGTTTAGTACCTTTTTAGATCTCTTATTCATTTCTTGTACGTAGATTGCATGGAATATTTGGCTAAATATCGGCATTGAAAGCACAAAGATCACAACGAAAAACAACCATGCCAAAGAGGAGTTTTATGTGCCTAGTCAGGCATTTTTAACAGCGCTAATACAAATTTTCTAACACATACAACTGCGGGGGTGATACATCATTGAATTCGAATGTCTTCACTGGGCGCTTGGCGGTTACTGCTTTACTACATCGATTCCAATACGTTTTGAAGCGTTTCAATGACGACGAACGGCTGATGGGCGCCGTGCAAGGGCCACAGTAGTTCATTCCGGGGTATTGGTCGTAACTATCAGTGAAGTGCACAGCTGCCAAATGCGCATTAAGTCAATTAAAGAACCAGTTTGATAACAAAGAAGGATCATACCACAACATTACCGGCACCCTGACACTTATTGAATAAGTACCAAATAAGTAAATACATATCGTCACCTGAAATGCAAAAAGACGTAACAATATCGTAAATGAGATTGAAAAAGTCGTGACTAATATTTTCATTATTTTTTTCATAAAATGATGTGGGAAGTTGTAACTCGTTGAAATCCATTATATAAATCAAAAAGTAAATTTTGAATTTTTTATTAGTTATGACTTTTTGCATTTTAACAATGATTTTTGTTACGTCTTTTTGAGTTTCAGGTGACGATATGTTTTTCTACAAATTTAAAGCAAACATATTTTTAATGACTTAACAAATTTTTCACCATTTTATGTACTCTGAATGCATGTAGACATTGAAATAACTGGGGTATCGACATTATAAATTGATTGGAAATATCTACCCGATATTATTTAGAGTGGTCCACGAAATAATAGGAATGCGATATTTTGACTCCTTTTATTTTGTGCACAACTGTTATGTACATGCACAACTGTTATATAATGCATTATTTCAACTCATTTAAAAGTTAAATACGGCATTAATTGTAACTTTTTTGTTGTAAGTTTGTTGTGGAAAGAAAAACTTATTTAACTTTTTATATTTAGAAAAATATAGTGATAACTTGACACACGTAATAAAATTGTTGTTTTGAATCATAACCAAATTACATATATTCAACTATAAGTACATATTTAAGTTTCACTAGAAAATTTCAGTAGCCGGTAAGAAAACTAATAAAATAAAAGCAAACTATTTAGCCTCAGTATTAACTTTTTTTATTAATTCTTCTTTGATAAAATAAATAATATATGTAAATAAAAATATGCATTAAATGCTGTTATACATATTAAATATATAAAACGAAGTTTTTATTAAATTACCATTTCATTTATTTCAAAATCAGTACAATAAAATTAAATTAGTTAATAATAGCCACCAAAGCTAAATGAAAATAAAATAATTCATTAAATAATTAATACGGTGATATTTTTTTTAATATTCGCAATGTTTTTCTTGCTATATATTTTTGTGAATTTTTTGTTTTGTTTAAAGAATGTCTCCTATTTTAACAAATGCTATACAAATCTAAGCTTCACACTGTATATGTACATAATTTAGAAGTATTCTGCCAAGTTGCATCCAAATGGCAAGATTTTTAATAAGCATTTCCAAAAAAAAAGTATGTATCCATCCCAATTTTATTATGATAATGTGCAAATTTGAAATGTCTGAAAATGCGCGTTGTTTTATACTAATTTTTTGCTGTCCTATGCATTTTTACCATATAAAAAATGATTGAAAATGCTTTATATGGAAAAAATGCACAGGACAGCAAAAAATTATTAAACAACCCAAATTTTTAGACATTTGAAATTTGCAAATTATAATAAAATTGGGATGCATACATACTTTTTTTTGGAAATTCTTATTAAAAATCTTGCGATTTGGATAAAACTTGGCAGAATACTTCTAATTTATGTATACAGTGTGAAACTTAGATTTGTATAGTATTTGTTAAAATATGAGCCATCCTTTGAAAAAAAAAACTGAGCAAAAATTTATAGCATAAAAAACATTGCGAATATTAAAAAAAAGCGTATACTCAAGGCACGAATACTTATCAATAGAAACAAATTCAGAAAACAAGATTCAACTAAGAACAATTCATTTGAAAAACAAAAAAGTAAAAAGGCACCAACAAATAAGTTAATAATAATCTAACTTATTATTAATAACAATATATACATACAGCCCGCGATAAAAGATAGGACATCAAAATTTGTACCAGTTTTGACTACTTTTCTTTGCTTTTTTAAGGTTCATTAATTTTTTTTTTAAAGTTAAGCTCCTTAACTAACAAAACCAATATAGGTCCAAATTAGAGACTTTGTAGAAAAATTATAGAAATTGCATACATTTTTCGTCCCAATCTTAAGCATTCTAATTTTAATTTATAGAATAACTTCCACTTTATTATACTCGATTTTAATAAGCTATAAAATTGCATTATTCTAGAAATCAAAATTAAAATGCTTGGAATTGTGAAGAACAGTTTGTGGAATTTTTATAATTTTTGTACAAAGTCTCAAATTTGGACTTATATTGGTTTTGTTAGCTAAGGAGCTTAACTTTAACAAAAAATTAATGAACCTTAAAAAAGAAAAAGAAAAGTATATACACAAACAATTTACATCTATTGGGGAGGGCCCAGTGAATTAGTAAACTGGGCGAAAGCATGCGCACAAGCTTTCACCCCCTCCGCCAACACCGTGAAGGCCTCTGCCATTGTTGCAGTTACGGTAGCCATTCGCTCTGTGGCAGCAGCCATTCTGCATATTGCCTCAGCATTGGAGCGGTTGGCCTCCGCGTTGGTTGCAGCACTTTCAGCAAGCCTCTAAGAAAATAAAAGTTTTATTAATAATTCAATACAAATACAGTATTGAAAAAATTACCTTTTCTGATTCGGCCTGTGCCTCGGCAATTCTTAAAAATTTCGCCTTTGTTGGCGATTCTTCCGCACGTTTCCGCTTAGCGGTTCTGCGCGGTGTTTGCCTCGGCGTTTTCGGAGTTTCGCACCGAATTTCCGACTCGCCATCCGACACCGTTAGTGGAGGAATTACCATGGTGTCTTCCTCCATGACTAAGCGGAAATTTTCATCCGCCGCCCCCAATGTTAATTGCAGTTCCTAAAAATAGTATAATGAATATTGCAATATGATTAGCATATTGGCATGTGCTTTTAATACGGTACAATTCAACTTACCTCTTCCATTGGAATATTCTCCTGGACATCCGGTTGCCCCTCCATATAGCTGCTTCCCACTAGAGCTATTACCCGCTTCTCCAATTCGTTCA